TCAGAGGGAGGGAGCAAAAGTACCACGCTTCAGCAGGTTCCAATTAAAGAAAGCCTAATCCAAAGCGCATTGAAGTTAGTAAGAGACTTTTTGTCTCTTTGCTGGTGGGGTTTGGACCAGACGTCAATGTCAGAAATGGTATCTGTAACACGTGCAGACATTGATGCAGTCACTGCTGCAGGAGTGCCAGCAGTCTCCCTGCACCATTATCAGTCCTACTGATCGTTCAGCTCTCTGCAACAGCTTCAAAGGGAAATCGCCAATTTGTCTTTTTTTTTTTCTTTCACAACTGAAATGCTAGGTTCAGAAGTGAATTCTGCTAAAACACTGACTTCTTTTTTTAATCTGGAAAGATATTTTGAAAGATTATTTCCGTTTCCGGCAAATGTTCCTTTTTCTCAGGAAATCAGTTCAGGAAAGACACTATATTTGGGACAGAAAAAGCCAAATCACTGGTTTTATTTTTAGGTCTGCTTATCAGGTGATAGAAAGACACCTTGAAAGTCAAAATTATTTTCACTTAGTGAAATCTGGACAAGGCTTTTGGATATTCATTGTAAATACACAAAGATTTTAGGAACTGCCTTTTCAGCTTTACTTCTACTATGCCTTGACATTAGTCTATAGCTATAGAGAATATGGAAGCTTATAAACAGATTAGCTCTCAAAGACTGTTTTTATTTTTGTAAGAAACAAAATTGGCAGCAGGACCACATTTTGCATCAGATAAGCATGCCTTTTATGTTCTTTTAATATAATATGACTGTTTATTTTTCCAGCCTTTTGCAAAAATGTTTTATTCCACAGATCAATGACTGTCATAATACATAACTCAAGATGGAAATTTCCCCTGCATCATCTGGGAGAAGTGGCTCAAAGATGACTGCATTTTTGTTTTACTGGACACTCCAGCCACTCTTCAATGCAGCATAAAGCCTCCTTGACATGGTTCTGCCCTGAGGAAATCCCTCCTTTGTGATCACCCATGAGGCTTTATACAGGTGGGAAGTAGTGCTCTTAGACCTTGCCTATTGCTATGCTAAGAGTCCACCTGTACTTGCTGAGTACAAACAGCTTTTATAAAGCCTGCTTACCACTTAGGAGAGTTAAACGGGATCTCAGTCTCCCTTACAGACCAAAGAAGAAAATCAGTGACTACTTTTTCCAAGGTGGAAGGTCCAGCAGGGGCCACCTTTACGTTTTCCTCTCTCAGGGCTCCTAAACCCCGCCACAAATAAGTAGACAGAGAGCAACAATACCCTTTTCACTAGAAAAGCTTTTTAAACACCGGTTGAGAAACGTAAACACATCAGAGAGAAGTTGCTGCTGGCTAACCTTTGCCCCTGAGCCCACGTGCCAGCTCCAAAGCCTGGAGTGGCCACGTGCCTTGCTGCAAGCAAGGAGCAGCAAAGAGGGATGAGTCCTTGCTGGGGGCTGCCCCTAGCCGTCAGTCTACCCTGTGCACCGGTCCTGGGGGCACGTCAGGCAGGGAGGACAGGAGCCCCTGTGCAAGCCCCCTGTCGTCACCCAGACTGGTGGGAGTTGAGGCGAAGGGAGAGATGGGGAAATTTGCTCACTGAGTTGCCTCACTCCCGAACAATACTCAAGTTTCAGGCTTGTCTACGAGTGAAATTCTGCCCCTAGCCGTCAGTCTACCCTGTGCACCGGTCCTGGGGGCACGTCAGGCAGGGAGGACAGGAGCCCCTGTGCAAGCCCCCTGTCGTCACCCAGACTGGTGGGAGTTGAGGCGAAGGGAGAGATGGGGAAATTTGCTCACTGAGTTGCCTCACTCCCGAACAATACTCAAGTTTCAGGCTTGTCTACGAGTGAAATTTAAATAAAGAACATTTGCTCCCAAATTAGCCAGAGAAGAATAAACATATTAAGACCTTTTGGCTGTCCTAAGAGAGAATAAGAGGCCTTGCTATACATGTGAAGAATTAAATTGTCTTAATTGCATCCTTGTGCAAAATAAAGCATTACATACAGAAGAAAAATATTTTTAAGTGGATGGAAAAATCCACTGGGTTAAAGGAATACTACTGTCAAGTTAAATGTGTCCCTGCATTTGTGTGGTGCAAAAACAAGTTTTAATAAAACTGAAGAGTCTAATAGGAACATTTCCATGAATTTAAAAATAACAGCAATGGAAACAATCTCATAAAATAAGTAAACTTCTCCCTTCAATGTTTGCAACTCAAGTATTACAGCATTAATTTAGGGCCTGGGAATGTGAAAGTAACTATAAATTATGAATCAAGTGCTTTGTTCTACAATACGACAGGCCAGGTTTTAAATTCCTTGTCTAGCGTGGTTTCTGTAATTTCAGTACCACTGCTGGCATGCAGAATTTAGCCCACCTAAAGACCAATTTAAATGGTAAAATTACCTGATATGATACTTATCCATCAGGTTTCCAGTGGCCCATAGTAGATACACAGGAGGATACCTGACTTACAAGGAAGGCTTCTTTGGCATGATGCTTTGTATCTACTCCAGGCTGTTTTCTTAACCATTAAAAAGACTCTAAATATATTAATTATGTATAACGTGACACTGGTCTTACAAATTAAGAATATGAAATGCAAAGTTCACCCAGAGAAGAAGGTACCAGGGTCCCGTGAGTGTGCCCATTACCACCCCAACTGGTTGCCTTCCCAGAGCACTGTGCTCATGCTGGGTTAACTGGGGATGACTCCTGTGGAGACCAGTCTGTGTTAAGACTTGGTGCATGCTGGCTCAGAACAAGATAATGTACTTGCATTTATGCTGCTGGAAACCAGCTTCTTCCTCTAAATCATGTTTTCAGCAGTTTCTCCTGTTCACCATCTCCAGCTTTTGTTCCTCCAAACTGCTATCAGGGACACTACTTTCCCCTCTTCCCTAACACACAGACCATGCTTCTGCCCATCTCACTGTCAGAATTACTCCAGAGTCCTCATGACACTCCCTACGCTGGGCCGTGCCCATATGAATTTGCCAAACGTCTGTACAACTTCTCTAGGATGGTTTTCAACCAAAAAAAGAATATCCTGGTATTAAAGCATCATGAAACAGAAAAATAAATAAATCCCAAGGTCTAAATTGATTTACATTGTTTATCTGGGATTTGTTGATAGACTTAAAACTCTGTAAGTAGCCATAATAGGATATGATTAGTTAAGATCAGAGTGAGGTATAACAGGATCACAATTTAGTGAAGGTCAGAACAGTATATAGAATATTAAAACCAAGATACCACCAGATTGCTTTGGGACCTGCAGGAGCTGATCCTGCCAGGATATGTTTTCTGTTTCCATGCTTCTGAAAAACAAGGCAGACAGGATTTACTTTAAATCTCTTTGTCTTTCCTAATTTCCCAGAAGTCTTCCAAAATCTGGGTAAAGGAAGAATTAAAAACAAACAAACAAAAAAACCCAAACAAACCCACCCCCCCCAACCAACCCAAAAAAACCAAACACAAACAAAAAATAGCAATAAAGTTCATTCTTGCCCCAATAAAGACTTTTGTCAAGGCTGTAAAGCTGTTAAATTATATGGGGCAGATCTTGCAGGATGGGAAGTTACTTGTCAAGGACTCTGTAGATGAAACAGTCTACCGTAACTTGCTCATAAATAGACCTGGAAACTCTGCATACAAACTTTGTTCCTCATTTACTGTACAGCAAACTGCTCAAGGAGAATTAAAATGTATTCTGCCTCTCGTCATCAAGCCCTGGAGAGAAGTTGGTCACTTCCATCGCTTTTGGATACATCTCTGTGGAGTGATCCCCACTTACCTGGCCAGCAAAATCCTCAGTGGTTTTTTCCAGCAAGAAGAAAATCTCCTTGACAGGAGGGAAGGAGGAGAAAAATCCAAGCTTTACTGTTCTTCTGGATAAAATCTAATCATCACTGGTGGTACAATTACAGCTGGCAAAGAACTGGGGACAGGAGTGTTGAAGTTGCTGCACCCCATGAGGTGCAGAAAAGCTGGGAGAAAGCAAATGAGCCTGGTGGATGACACAAGCTCGAAAGAGAGCAGTGGGGAGTTCATCTTGATCAGAAAGAACCTGCAAGCCAGTACCCTGTTGGGCATGTGGTGGTCAGAGAAAGGTACCTATGGACACTCGACCTAATAGTAAAACTTCCATGAAACAAGATTGCCTGGACCCAGAGCACAGTACAAAGACTCAGCAGGCACCAGGTTGTCTCCCAGTTTATTGGTGGAGCCAAACACAACTTAGAAGTTGTCTCATTTTTTAAGCCCCTACTCACTCTGTTTGCCTGTTCCTGCCTATCTTCTGGTCACTTTTCTGCTGTGTGTCTTCTCTGAGAATTCCCCACCCATCCTATGCTAAGAGATGGCATATGCGCACAGTGCCTGTCTACTTGCAGAAACCTACAGCCATTAAATAATAACGGGAGAAACCTTCACAGGCACACTAGGTTCCTGTTACTTCCACTTAGGGGCAGTTTCAAAGGCAGACTAAGGTGGCAGCCATCTATCCTAGCAAGAAACTCTATGTGCTAAAACTTTTATAAATGCGAAATTAGCCACCTGCAATAACTGTTGTAAAATTGTTAAATTAGTTACAGTGATTATTCTCATGCTTTCCTGGGAAACAGGGAACTAGCACGGAACAGCAGTAAAAAAGGCTCCTACATAGTCCAGAAAATAGGTTAAACCAAGTGTTGCTCCCACAATGAAACCAGAAACCTTGCTGAACTCGCTGCCGGGCCGCCTGCTTGCAAGGACTTTAAGTGTCAACCTATATCCCCACTGGAATAGTACAAAAGCGAACAGGAACGAGTGATCCCTTTTTTAATGCCTGCTAAAAATTAATCTGGCCTGAAAAGAATTACAAGTCACAAGATGCCACAGAAAACTGGAATGTTTAAGCTTCATAAAACCACAGTTCCTCACCCCAATTTTTTCCAGTTTGAGGCATCAGACCTTCAACATACATTTCCATGAATCCTCTTTATTTAATTTAATGAGGTACTTGAATAACAAGGCTTCACTCAAGCATGTACTGTATCACAGACAGATCCACTTCTTCTGCCATCAGACTGGCTTGCAGGCTTTGGATTGTTGCTTTTTTCCCCAAACGCTGTCTCCACAGCACAAATGCAGCTACGATCTGTGACTGCAGGTTGTGAGGGTGATTGACTTTACATCGATAGATGTCACTATGGGACAAACCCAAGCACAGAACTATATGCTCCCATTCAGGTCCCAGTCTCCTTGCAAGCTTGTTCAGCTGCTGATCTGTTGGTAGAGTCTTCAAAATAGATGGTGCAATTTCAATTATATCTGTAAAAAAAGAAAAAGAAAAAGAAACGCATACACATGTCACTAGGCAATGCTGCAAATATTAATGTAAGACCTTGACAAGGGAGAGAATAAGCAAAGCTGAAGTGAATGAATGAATGAATTAAACAGAATATATACCTAGAAAAAGTAATTACATAAGCAACCAGAAGATTAATTAGAGGAAAACAAATGCTCAGTGAAACATACAAGAGAGCCTTGAGGTTTTGGGTGTCAATAATCCAGATATTATGATTCTGTTCCAAAGTCAAGACTTCCAAAAGTCATTCTGGGGTAGTGAACAAGAAAGGTTTTCAAGGAACCCATTTGCAGCAGCCATCACCCTCTGAAAATCAATCTGCTTGCACCAGTATGATATAGTGACAAATGACAAACATGGGACCAATAGAACCTTATTCCTATTCTGTGACTCGGTTTATACACTTCAGAAATAACTTTGATTCCTTAGTTACTAGGCATTAATCTATTTTTTTGCTGAGGGCTGTTTACAGGAAATTCTTCTGTCTCCTAAGATGCTACTTACCCTTTGTGCCCTGTCATAGAAGGCAAACTCATCTTGAGGAGAACAGCTTTGGGGGCTTTTCTTCAATTTGAATTAACCCAGAAGCATGGTTCAGGAGAACCCAAATGAACAGGGCACCAACACTGTTCCCCAATACAAATTATCCTTCCTTATCTCTCATCCCAGTTGTAGTAATGCTCCTGAAAACAGGCATGTATGTGCTACAGCCCCATTCATCTGGCCTCCTTGAAGCTGTTTCCAGGAGAGTGCAAGGAATTCCCATGGTCTCTCAGAGATTTCTGCCCCATCTCCCTTAGTACTGCCCAAGTACTCAACATGCCCCAGAATGCACTCCTCATCCAAGAAGATGTTTAGCATTGAACTGGTATCCGAGTCACGGAGGACAGGATCAATACAACTACCAAAACAGCTTCCACATCAAGCATTAAGGTAGCTGTAATTATCAGCAGTAAAAATCTCTCAGGGACTGAACCAAGTACTTCTTACAAACACAAGTAATCTCATTGTGTAATCTGATAATTTTTTTTTAAAAAGCATTAATACAAACAGTGTTAATAGCAGAGTGAGAATACAGTGCTATTCAGAAACATGCTGTATGGGATCCATCTCACCTAACTACAGATCGCCCCTCCTGAACGAATTATACTAGGACTAACTATCGCTAAGGAGAGAAATAGGCTCTTCTAGAATACAATCCATCTCACTGGAAAGAAGTTGTCTAAAATCATCAGACGAATTACTCCTCTAAACATGCACATTTATCTTCATTGACTGTAAAAGGAGCACTGGGTATAACCTCAGATGCTGGCACTGACGCTGTAAACAGCCAGTGCTGGTGAAACGATTCTCTGCCTGTAAATTCAAACCACACACCAGTTGCTTTAAAAAGGTGCATTTAGAAAAGCCACATAAGATATCTATAAAGTACATTCACTCTTCAATACCCTTTGCGATCACAAGCTGAAATTAAGGGTCAATGCCGCCTGCGACTGGTGCTTTACTTTTGTTGCTGAAGATACTGCATCAAAACAGAGCAAAAATATCCCCAAGAAAATGCTAATTATAGCCTGTCGGTCTGAAGCAGTAGACTCCCTACAGAACAGCCGCTTTGCAAAATCTAATTTATAGCTCCAATATCATGCTCGCAGTCTCCACTACAGCAGAACAGCAACACTAGAAAGCACCACTCCTTCATATTATCAAAAATAATTGGTTTTGCATAGAATACCCAGAGTGTGCAAACATTTGTACAGTTTAAGCCCAAGCACACATAAGCACTATACAAAGCTGCTTTGAGTAAAGGGAAAATTGCTTTCTGCAGAGTATTTAGGTCCCTTTGATCTTTCTGTCTCCAGATTGCCAAAGGAAACTGGGGCAAGTGGTTGGTTCGGGGACAGGGCAGAGGATGCTCAGCTCCTGAAGAAGGCTGAGCAGCGCTGGCGGGGCTGCCCTGCGCTGTCACATCACACATGATACCAGCTCCACAGGTAAGTCAGGACGAGGGAGTGCCTTTCATGAATGCAAATATTTGAGAATAACTAAAATTTAAAATAAATATAGCTACACTGTGCTGTTGCAAACACTACTTTCTGATATTAAACCCTTACATTGGCTTATGGTCAGCTACTAAGAGTGAAGCAGTGTGCCCAAAGGAACGCTACCTGCCAGCCTGGGCTTTTCGCTCTCACGCTGGAATTTTTATACTTCATGTTCACTAGCAGAATGATTTTATGATACTGAAATGTGATCAAGCAGGGAGGCCTAACAATAATACATGTCAGCTTGTCCATCCAGCCTTTGATATTAGGCAGATTTTTTCACTACAACAAGTATCTTGCCTTCAGCCTGTTATCAGCCCTTTAATAAGAATAAGAATAAAACCCATCCAGGAAATCTTTTCATCTTACGCTACCATATGATTCTAATATGGATGTGGAAAATTCTGGGACAGAAGCCAAATGTTAAATTTAATACAAAGGACTGTTATTTTAGTCGCATTTTATTTTCTGTGATAGCTCTTTTTCAGCTCTGATACAAAGTCACTGAGGAAAATCTGAGACAAGTATTACAGATGGGCAATATTATTTAGAGGTATAGAGAAATATTTAGTGAGATCTTTTAGTTATGACAAATGCAAAAATCACAAAAAGACTGGGATATGTTCTAGCATTAATGCCACTCCTGATTTAATAAACATAATGGCATTTCAGGTAAAAGGGAAATAAGTTTTCTCTGCTCAGCACCCAAGCTGCTTTGAAGACATTGCAAAAACATTAAAGATGCTTTTTTTTAGTTATGTTTACTACAGACCCTCATTTATAATCCCCATTTGTCAGGAACTGCCTGAGAGAGGTAATGAGATTAGAGCAAAAGTTTCAATTATGCAGATCCTGCATTTGAAAGGTATGTTTAGGATACTGAGACCTCAATTTTGCAAAAAATGTGAAGTTCTTGCTTTAGGTGGATCCAATGTGGAAGTGTACATGCTTATGTTAGAGATATATATACATATATATGCTTAAGCTTAGCAAAACGAGGACTGCACTGTTAGAAATGGGAAGAAGTGGGGCTTGCAGTACCACTGGAGGGTGTCGAGGTTTTCCTCTGAGAAGGTGATTTGTGGTGCCATCACCTCCAGCGAGCACACCAAGTGAAACACCATGTCCAGCCATGGACACGGTCTGCACCACAAAGTGCCAGGGCCACACGCTGCGGAGGTTTGAAGGATAGAGCCTTGCTGCTCACACCGAAGCCATTAAATCCCTGAGGAATGGGGAGCCAATGGCTTTGTGCTGGGGAGCGAGCCATCCTGGTGCAGAGCTGCTCTCCTGGGCATGGCACTTGAGACCATGAAAATCCCCTTTCTCTGGGCTGGAGGTGGGGAGGACACTCTCCACCCTGGTTTGGGAGTTGAAACCAGCCCAGAGAAAGACCCACAGCTCCTTCTACTAGAAGTTGCAGCACAAAGAAATGTGCTTCTCCCCGTCTTCAGCTCTCGCTGGTCAGAGAAGCTCATCCACCCTAAGCATTTATCCTAGCTGTCCCAGTTAAAAAAAAAAACAAACAGGTGATGTTGACAACGTCTGGCCTGTGTGTACATCTGTGCTTCCAGACCACTGCACAGAGTGGGAGATACGACAGCGCTGGTGAGTGTGGACAGGAAACAGAACTGGATATAAATAGACAGTATCACAGATCTGTACCAGACAGAATAACCCAGATACCAAAGCTGTATATGGGGCAAAGGCAGATGGTCCCCACTGTTGCATTTCTTTTTCTTCAGGACCTCTCCAGCTTTAATTAAGAGACTCCAAGAAGATGTTGCAACAGTCGGGGATGGATAATGAACTCACCCCATTCTGTCCAGCTTGGCTCAAGTGGGAGGATGTAAGATAAAGTCCAGTGAAAATTGGCTTTGAAAAACTTAAAGACTTTTCTTTGCCTTTGCTTTCTCACCACCATCTCTAGGTGATGAAAAAAGCTGAGATCATCTCTTAGGCTGTCTTGAACCATGGGAAAATCTTTATCAGCATTGAGGAACTGACCTCTCACTCTCCATGCTGCTGGAACTGAGCGGGGAGCAAGCAAGCTTGGCTCCAACACAGGACACAGCAACGAAAAATGCTGAGGCATTTCTGGATGATCTGGAAAGTACCCAGCTGATTCCTCAGAACTGCCAGCAGCCCAAAGGGCCTTACGGCTTTGTGTAAAGGACCCTTTTCCATGTCTGTATGACTTCTCTGTGCACAACCAAAAGCATCTGCTGGAGTTTCAGGGAGCTTTCTCCCTTATGCAGTCAATACATTTTTACATGATTCAACACATAAACAACTTTCTGGCTTTTGCTCTTTGATGTATAAAAGGGACTTTGATGGAAATGCTGTACCTGAATCCAAAGTGCTGAAAAAGTCTTGACCAGCTGCTGCCTAATCCTGAAGCTCCACAGGCAGTTTAGGAGACAAGCTGGGAGCCAGGGATACAATGGCCCACCTCTTATCTAATAGCTATCTAATAAATCTGTCCTTTGGGAAAGAATGTTCTGGGGACTGGTCTCTGCTTTCAGTGCTGCCTCTGTATCTTATCCATTTAAATGACCATGTACATACCCGTTGGATAAGGAGACAGAAGCAGCCCTGGAAAATATGGGGATCCAGGTCTCTCTGAGCTGCACATGCTAATGCTGAGGCAGCACAGTCATGCTCCTCTTCATTCCCTTTCTCCTGCTAAATCATTACAGGAAAAAATATAAAGATTTACCTGGGAAGCCTCTAGAATGGAGCCTGGTGGAGAGAAATCTCTCCTGGGGATCAAGGAGTATGCTGAAACAGAGCAAAATGGAATGCAAGAGCCCTTGGCGGAAATAATGCTAGGCAAATGCTCTAATTTTTATATAATCGCATTAGAAACAGGTAGGTGATTCTGGGCTTCAGACCCTGCATAGCTGGAATAGGACTATAAAAAGGAGTAATTGCTTAGGCAGGCATCTGGCCTCAGCATCTCACTGATAGGTGTACAGAGTCCTTCAGTGATCTGGACTCAAGTCACCAACTGTTGTTCACTTGACCCTCTTACCAGATCCTGCTCATAATTTCTGAAGAGTTCAAAGCAAGCATTTCAGAGTCCTCTTTAATTGTCTTTCCTGGCATCTGGAGTACAGTTCTTCCCTGATAAGTGCTAAACTTAGATCAAGCAGTTCCACAAGCAGCAAACCAAAGCAGCCTTGTTTCCCCCAGGTGTGAGTCCTACAGCTGACTCGTGCTTCAGGACTTCTCTCCTCCAGCTGCTTATCGACTCTCAAGACACTCATGAAATTGCTCCTCTCCACAACAACAACTAGGCAGGCTTCTTGAAGTTGGTCAACACATTCAGAAGCTACTGGGGTGGACACATACGCACAACGTCCTGTAGTAGAGAAGTGCACAGCCTTGGTTACTATTGTAAATGATGCTAAAAGGGACTTCGAAGCTCCACAGAACCATCGCCGCTAACGTGCCAGCAGCCAGTGACATTGGGAGCACTTCAGCTAAAGGGAAACATAAAGAATCTGGTGCCAGGCTCTGCTTCCCTCCAGCCCCCTTGGAGTGCAATGCACTTGTTCAACTACCCTGAGCCACAGACCGAGCAGCAGGTACTGAATGGGCATGGTCACTATCGCCGCACTGCATCCTGTGTGTTTTGGCAGCTGTGTTATGTTCCAGAAATTATTTAATGCCTGAATGTCACAACAGCAAATGACTTGCACATAAGTAGGTGTATTTGCTTTAAAGTGAATTCTCCTTGGCCTGAGCACAGCAGTAGAAGTGGGTCATGAAGCAGAACAACACTTGTCAGACCAGGTTGGGACAGGCTTTCAAGAGCAGCGAGGTGGGGTTGCAGAACCTGAATTGGAAGGTACGTATGTAACGCTCCTGCTAATGGAGAGATCGGAGACTTCTGAGAGCTGCAGCCTGCCTTGAGCCACCAGAGATGCTGGATGAAATGGAAAGCAGAGAGTAAGCATTTTGAAAGATCCTAGGGGGTGCTGTAGTTCACTGAAGTCAAAGACCAGATCATGATCCCGGTGAGAAGGGTGGAATAAACAGAAGGTGCTGGGTAACTGCAGGGGGTGGCTTGGCTCAATTTATTAGAAAAGGGGATGAGAGGTGATGGTTGGCCTCCATGTGTATGGCTGTTCTTCTGTTTTCTTGTTCAGCTGTTCTCTCCCAACCCTGTCCTAACAGGCGAAACTGCAGGCAAATGCTTGCCCTCTTCCTACAGGACATCCAAATTCATGAGCTCTAAGCCAACCTGCGGCAATGAATGACTGGAGTGCCAGATGGGAAAGTATCATGCTAGATATACGACACTTGGCAGACCTGCATGGAGAATGCATCGCCTACTCCCTCCTGCGCAAGTTAAAAATGATCGTGAAGCATTATAAGGCTATTGCATTGCTGTGAACTTTAGAAGGGTCTGATTCAGGACCTGTTTAAACACAAGAAACAAGCTCAAATTGCTGATGAGTGAAGAAGGTAGAACAGAATATCCAGAAACCAACCCCTACTATATAATTTAGCTGTTGGGTTTTTTTCTTGTTGTCGTTGTTGCTAATTAAACACCAGACTGATTCAAAGGCTGGGAAGGGAACTTCAGGGTTTTGCAACAGCTCCAAATAATCGTGCTCCAGGGAACATGGAAAAATATTTCCCTTCTATGTATTGCCATATACATATCTTTTCTATACATCTGCAAACAGCATGGATCACAAAAAAACCACCAGGTCCACCTCCTGGTGTCAGTGGGTTTCAAAAGTTTGACCAAGGAGTGAGAAAAACCGAACTGTAAATCCTGTGCTATTTGAAGACAGATAGCTGACCGCATTATAGATATCCTTCCATATATTAATACACTCAGATTAAAATAATTTACAGAAGAAGATTAAAATAACTTGGAGAGGATGTATAGCCTTCTCTTGCTTTTAGCATGTGCGTAGCTGTTTCGCTGTCTCTCCTGCCAAACGTGTGTGGTGAGTTACATGGGTAGCTGCGAGGTGGAAGACTGGCAGCTCTTCCACTTATCTGCACTGGTTGCCTCCTCTGTTGGCTTCTGCTCACTACCGAAGAGATGCCCACCTCCTTCATCCTGTTCATCAGAAGACACCATTTAACAACGACTGCAAAGCATGTGCTGATCTTTATTCGCAGCTTGGGAATTCTCGCCTCTTCCTCCCAGAGAACGGACTCAGCATGGGGAAATCCCACTCATGGAAAATCTGCACCTTTGCAGGAACAAAAAGCCCTGTTACCTTCCTAAGAATAAATACTATCTTCTCTAATTCAGTTAAAACCAAATCTTGGTCAGTTACATACCCAGACTAAACTACAAAATGGAATCTGTACCATAAGCAGATAAAAAAAAAAAACAAAACACCTAAAACAAGGGTTTAGAAAGCGGCACATTTATTTCAACAGTAAAACAAATTTGACAGAGAATTTTATGTTCATCTGAGTATATGCCATGGTTTTGCTTCACAAATACAGGACTGTAAAGTTTCTGTAGTTTATAACTTCTGATCTGATGAATCCAAACAGTCATTAATATACAGAATGTGCATGAATAAAACCAACCTCGGCCAATTAGTGATCATAAAACACTTATTCGTAAGCATACTTCTATCATGGTAGTTTACATTTCCATGTCTGATAATTAAATTATGAAAGGCACTAATCAAAATTGAAAGCAAATACAAAATAATTTTTAAAGACTGGTTGTGTTCTTTCACATCATGCGGTTTTTTATGACTTGTATTAAAAGATAGGAAGTTCTCTGTCTTATTTTATTTAAAATTGGAATCTAATACTATGACAGCCAATGTGCAGAATAAATAGTGTCCGTCATCCTGTAACAATCAAATCTATGGCAACTTTAAACAGTCTCCCTCAAGTGAAACAGAATTTGGTACCCATGGTACCAAATTGAGCTCCTTCCTGCCAAAAGCTTGCTGGGACTCTGCATTACTGGTGTAATTAAAAAGTATATATTTTCATTCATTAGCAATCTCTTCTCCTGTGTGAGCTCTAAAGCATCATGCTTTGCGACTTTAAATACATTTTGGATATTAGGGTAGGAAAAAAAAGACAGCACAAAATTTTGTAAATCTACAGGCAATTCAAGAACGCAGATGTTTCTATTTTGGCTCAATACCAGCAGCTAATTCTTATATTCTTTATCACTTGCTAATGACTGCCTAGTAGCTGCAGATGTGGCAGCAGAGTGCTAAAACCTGAAACATAAACATTCAGATTTCATGACAAAAGTTTTCAATTGTAATCCCACTATTCAGTTCCAGTAGCTATGCAGTTTTCCTGCATTTTTTAAATCTGTTTTACAGGTTTTGTCCCTTCACAGATCTCTGCTATACTGATGGCCTTCAGTATTGATCCATGTTAACCAGATTGACAGATTAGTGCCTAAATAAATTAATGCTGTCTTAAGTTTTCACCCTTTTCAAGCCATAGGGAACAATCCTTGGGTTTAAGAAATTGAAAGACATTGGGCTTTCACTTCTTCATTTGGTTTTTTATTGGGAAGAGCAGGGAGGAAGTTTCAGCAGTTAACAGTGCAGATGTTATTCTGTTTCCCATGCAAAGAAAATGATTACAAGCCTATCTATTATTTATCTGCTGTTGCATACTGTGAAATGAAATAATTAATTTCATCAATGAAATGGTGACTGCAGATGCACACAAGGAAAAGAACACCTCTGCAAAGAAAACACAAACACAACATACTGTAATATCTGCTCTCTGTTCAAGCAGGATTAGCCTACGTTACAGACAGAATTGGACCTACTCATACTCTTGTTTTATACTTTTTTATTTTTATCAGCATTTGATACTGCTGTAAGCCCTGAAGTGGAAGTCAAATTTGCTTGATATTTCCTACAGATTTCTGTATTGTTATAAGTAAATAAGCTATACACATCAGCACTGAAACTACAGCTGACGATACCATCTCTGCAGTGGTACCTTTGGTATAAATGCATGAACAGGTTCAGCATGCAGCATTGCACTAATGAAAAAATATCTCCTCAGTTGGGAGGTTCTGAGGAACACCTGAGCTTTTAGGAATTATTTGGAAGAACTGCTTAAATACAGGTACTGAGCATTCAGTCCTTGGCCAAAGATTTTTTTTTTTTTCCAAATAAACAAATATGAGTTGAAAGGTTATATGGAAAGGAGGCATGTGACCACTTTTTTGGAAGCTAGTTGCAACAAGTTGTTCAAGAGCAGTAAGGTAACCGACAGCCTGAGGGACAAGAGACAAGAATCCCTGGTTTACATGCTAGCAGTAACACTAGTCAACTCTAGAAATAATGCTGCAAATCAAATTCTAAAGTATGCCAGCAGATTACTATACACTTTTGAATGCTCTGCAGTTCTTAGTTCTTAGACAATACTCACAACACTTTCAACCATTAATTATTGGTCTGAAGCACGCAGAGCCATCATTTCCCTCAGTCAAGTTTCTCCTCCACACTATCACAAATAATAATTAACAATCAGTGAATGGCTGAACAAAGTCATGACTATCATACAGCACATTCATATGTGCAGTAGACTTCTCATGGTTTCAAAGGAGGCAAATGTTTACCTGGGTGGGCTGGGCAGCTCTGACAGAGTAATTAACTCATTTTAAGTGCAAAACAAAGACAACTGGAGCAATTCATGATTATTTAGTCAGCTAGGTGACAAACTCATCATGCAACTTTTGTCAGAGGATTGGAAGCTAACTTCTTTTGACAGATACTATTTGAATGTTTATTTCAAATAGTCTTTCAAAGAGCTGAGACAAGTGTTAATCCTACTGCTCCTTTGCGTGCAAGAATCACAGCAGACTCCTCAGGATGTTTATCTGCGAAGTACAGTAAGTGAGCAACTTTTTTTTCTAGCAATTTTCCTACCAAGAAATCTTTCTAAAGGCTGCAGCATTTCAACAATGAAGTCATGTGCTTGCGCTTCAGCTAGTGATGTTCCTTTTACGCAACAACAAAAATCGTATTGCCAGTTTGAAGGACTGTTTTCTTATACAAGACAACTAATCACACACGTTTCCGTTACAGGACTTCAACCACGTATGACAACAAGCCATCATATTTAGCCTTGATAAAACTGTTCATTCCTCCTAGAGATTTTTTTCTTCAAGTTGGCTCTTCTTTTTGCTTTGGCTCGAGTAGTTAGAAATATCGGAACCGAAGATCTGCGCAACAGATGGAGCTCAGTTGAGAAGAGTGCCTTTGGCTGGTGAGGATCTTTGCCTGGCAGGTGTCAAACCAAAATTAATACTGCACATATTATGCTTTACCGAGTTTCAGATTTTAGTGAAGTGAGACTGCATTCCTTCCTGACCACAAACATATATTAATAGAACAAGCCATGCAGAGCAAGCTAAAACAGTACTATCATTATGCTGAATCCTCCCCTGCTTGGCATTTTATTTCATCATTTACACCCATGCAAAGCAAGTAAACAAAATGCAACAGGTTAGTTTAGTGTCTCTTTACAGACACTTTCCACAGGTGTAAAAGACTTCACAAAATGCTGTAAGCAACATGGACTTAGACCCCTCCTGGTTCTATTTTTCCTCCTTTTCTTGTGACAATGCCTTAAAGGCTTACGAACTTTAGTAGACTTCTTGATATTTCAAAATCCACAGGAAAAAACAGGTACTGGTACTAAAATACACTGCTCGGCTACAGTCGGTGGGTATGCCTGGCTTGCCAAGTGCAATTCAACAGCCTGACTCAGAAGGGAGGGCTTTCCATAGGTGTCAGGAAGGAGAGCTTCAGGTGGCATCATCTGCTTCTCTCCATTTCCAGACTAGTGGGAGGATTAGCATTGCAATCAGCCCTCCCAAGTGCCAAGTAACTTGAAGACCTGAAAGAAACAGATTTGGAATCTCATGGCTGGTTTGGCAGATTGGTACTGTCCAAAAGCAATTTTAGCAGAGCAATAGGGCAGTAATTTCAGAAGGTCACAGGACTTTTAATTATCTGAAAAGTAAATGTGAGACTATATTTGTGTGTGTATACACATATTTACACACACACATACATCTTCAAAATCTTAATTAAGAAATATGAAAGTCTTAGATATCTACAAGTCAAATTCATCCACTTTTTTATTTCATTTCTACAAATTCAGGTTAGGGAACTGTCACACCACCCTGTGAGAAAAAGGATGAAGATGAGAGCACGTGTGAAGTAATTTCATAAACAGAGGTCCTAATTCACAGAGCACTTTACACAACCATGGGTTTGATGAGTACTCCTTTCCCCTCTGAGTCAGCACTGACCTAACATCCGGCACGATGTGCTCACTGCCATGGCTCGTGGCTGCCCTGTGACATGGCTTGTACCGGGTGACACGGCACGCTGACCAGCTGCAGTCATTAGACATCCCAAGACAGTATGGAAAGTAATGAGGTGACTCACAGCTGCAGCCACGCACTTGAAGGTTGCGGACCCAGTTACTCTTTTCCTCACTCAGGAATAGTATTTTGCCAAAGCAACAGTAGCAAGTTCAAAATCAAACAAGCTATTAGCAAACATTTGTATTACTTCCGGTATTTGTAGATTTATGCCAGTATTTTTGGGACAATTCATATGCAAAACCTGAACATCGGAAAACATCTTTTGCTTAAACATTAATTTTTATGTCTCACGCATACAGAACAATGTTTTCCCTCATAGTTTTGTAGTCTATTAGCTGCCAGATTTTGATCCAGAATTGAAATTTCAGTCATTTTGGCTTTTGCTCACAGTGAATCAGAAATAAAAATGTTTTAACATCAGAAATGAAAAGGCTGGAAGATCAGACAGATCATAAAAGATTTGTTTTACTTGGTTTGGGATTTTTACACAGCTATGCCTAACCCAAATAAGACTGAAACAAAACCAAAAGGCAAAGCAAAAAACTCAATAAATCTGTTCTGTCCCAGAGATGCAGAAATACAAACGATGCTCGTGTCCCTGGGGGAGCCAAATCTGAAATCCTACCACAAACAAGAGAGAAGGGCTGTTATTTCCTTGACAGCTGTTCCTGACATCACAGCTACCTCCTAGAAGTAACAATGGAAAAGCAGTCTTAAAAAAGGATTATTTTTTTTCCTTAAACAAACATCTTTTTAGTTCTACAAAATCATAAACAAAGAGATCAGGGTTTTTTTTATAATGCTGAAAATTTTAGTGCCAGAACTGTAAACATCAACATCTTTCTCTTCCTTACTTCTTCAGATGTAACTGCTATGCGTTAGTTGAATTTGTTAAAGAAATCAAACACACCCTGCAATGAACCTTCTAAGTGATTTTGGTGTTAGATGGGGCTAAATATTTTGAGCTTCATATTTACCGTGTTACCTCATTTTGTGCGTGTGCTCCTCAGAGAAGAGACGAACGATCTGGCTATGTGAGGTTAACACATTCTGGGAAAGTGGCCTCAAATTTCCATTTATGGAAATACACCACACCGAATAAGGGTATCCAAACCCAACTTTGTTGTGTATAAAGCACACAAACAGTGCCCAGCTACCTAACCTGACCTACCACTAGCACTTTAGTGTGTGTAAATATGCTAATGACAGGCACAGAGGGTTCATGTGGAAGTTTACAAGTTCAAGTGCAGAAGACAGATGAAAATTTGGCTGCAGTGCTTTGGTTTTCCCTCATTTTAGGAGATTCCAGCTTTCCAAGTCAGCTATACAGCCTAGGAGTTGCGTCCGGAAGGCCCAAGATGGACCTATTCAAATATCTTTACTCAGTTCTGTAGATTGAAAATGAGGGCTTCTTATCTACTCAGAACAGGTTGACAAGAAGATGAAGGCAGTGCTAGGACTTGGGCTTTTCACAGCACATTTTTGACTAGACATGACATTATCTGGTGATATTTATACTGTATTTGAATTGTTTGAGAACTTCAGGCAAACCATGAAAAGTCCTTACTTGAGGCATCTTGGAATTTAAAGATTTATGAAGGTTTTCACTTCCAAAATTGCCAAGTGAATGGAGACAGTTAAGCTGAAAACTGTGCCTCAATGTTTTCAGGAAGCTCTGTGCAGGTGGATCGTGAGACTTGGGACAAGAATCCCTGGATCACCACAAGAAGCCATTAGTCCTTTTTAACCAACCCAGGTCCAAAGCATTTGACAAAGAGACTCAACAGACCCCTTCTGTAAACTAACCAAGGAAAGCAGAAGCAATTTTTAATACTGTCTTTGTGTCATGCAATTACTTCCACATGCAAGTAGAGAAACTCGGTCAACCAAAGACGCCTGTTTCTCTAAGTGCGGCAGGAGCACACCTTCTACAGGGAACAGAAGTATGTTTGGAACAGCTGAACATAAGCTTAATGGAGTAATTTCAAACAACATATAAATTCATCTCAGATACACAACTGTAAAAAATTTGTAGCTCTGTAAACCCACGGATTGCTATTTTAAAGACAGTTTCATTAAGAAACACAGCTTGAGAATATCTATCAAATAAGATCAGAGCTGCATGCAGGGACAGCAGGAGGCAGCTGAAGCAATCTGCAGCACAGCTCTGGTGCTCATCGGTCTCTGATCCTGAGAGAAAATATAATTACTGCATGAATACACACATTAGACCAAAAGAGAAAGCCTAGGAAAGGACAAGAGTCTCCTAGAAAGAGATGGGAGAACTCACTGGGTTTTATGCAACCGTCTACAGCTCTGTTTGTCCCAATCCAATACACTTTGTTAGACTGACAAGGCGGCTGTGGCTTTAATTTTGAAGTCCACATTTTTCTATGGGAATCATTAAATATGACACATTTGTCCTGTTTAACAGAAAAACAAATCTGCCTCTACTTTTTATTCCTCTGAAGCCTTAATTTAATTGTGCAACATTTGCTCTAGAAACATATTTCAAGATGTTTTAGATATTACCTCATTTGTACACCATCCCAGGCTTTCCAGGAACTCTGAACCAACAGGCTCCTATCCTTTCTTATATCTCAACTACTGTATTTTATGGCTTCCACACTGTACTGTCTGGAAACTCCCCGTGAGACTGGCCTTGTTGTGTTAAACACAAACATGTAGGGAGGAGACGCACTGCACCAGTTTGCAATCTTGGGCGCGGGTTGTGAAAAACCCGCTTTGTATGTATTTAGTTCATGAACACAGAGATCGCCACGATTACATTCAAATAACTCCGAAGAGCTGGGCCTACACAGGTAAAAAAGGAGAAGCACCAGAGGAGCCAACAACCCAGCAGCTCATGCATGCTCGATTTCCTACTCAAGACCATGGCTTTGAAAGGTGC